ACACACCAGTCCTCAGGCTCCTAACTGGAACACGAAGGGAAGAAAGGTCAGCCCAAAGGTCCCTGCTGGTTTTTTAATTATTTGATTCTAAAATTCTAAAGGTATTGGCTCTTTATCTGTTATCTAATTCAGGGCTAGCTTGAAAAATAAGAAAATATTCAGAATTTAGTGTGCTATTGACTTTGGCCATTAAAGACATATGCATGGTAAGGAAACAAAGACGTTTAATTCAACAAATACTTAATCGGCACCCATTGTTCTAAGTATTGTGACCAACACATGAAATGTCTACACTATGGAGCTTCTATTCTAAAGGTATGGGTGGGCACAGACAATAAACAAAATACATAAATAAAATATTTGATTGGTCACATGGTAGCAAGAGTTATGGAGAAAAATAAATTAGGGTTAGAAGGACAAGAGTCAATTTAGAGGGGAAGCTGGCAATTTTAACAGGGTGTTCAGGGAAGGCCTCTGTGAAAAGGCACAGTGGAGTGAAGACCGAGTGAAGGGATGGGAAGCAGAAGCTCTGAGGATACTGGGAGGTACTCCTGTGGGTGGGAAACCACTGTGGGATTTGCGCACAGGGGTGCCATGATTGACTGATGTCTTAGCAGGCTCACTCTGGTTTCTGTGTTCAGGGTAGACTGCAGTATGGCAAAGTGGATGCAGGGAAACCAGTTAGGAGGCTACTGCAGTAATCCAGGCGAGATGGTGAGAAGCGGTTGCATTGGATATATCATGAAGGAAGAGGTTGCAAGGTTTGCTAAATACTTGGTTGTTTGGTGGAAGAGAAAAAGAGGAGTAAAGGCTGACTTCAGAGTTTTGGCCTGAGATGGTAAAGATTGAAAAGTGGGCTGACTGGGCGATAAGGAGGAAGCCAGGAGTCAGGTTTGGGTGAGTTTAAATGCCTATTAGATGTCTGAGTAAAGATCTCAAGTCTAGAGTTAGAGCTGAGGTCCTATGGTAGAGTTATAAATTTTAGAATTATTTATCAGCATATAGATAGTTTAAATGATGTGACAGCCATGAGACTGGATGGGATCACTAAGGAGTATGCAGGATCCAGCTAAGGAAGTGAGGAGTAGCCTGTAAGGCAGGAGAATGGGGGGAAGCCAAGAATAGAAAGCATTTCAAAGAGGAGGGATTATTTCTAGAATATCAGTTATTGGTGGTTGGATCTACACTTGCAGATTTTCTACAATGAGTGAAGAGGTTATATCTATCTATCTATCTATCTATCTATCTATCTATCTATCTATCTATCTATCTACATATATATATACACACACACACACACACACACACACACACTGACTAGATTGAAGGCTGTTTATAATCACTTGTAGTAAGGAGAACCTATTTGTGCAGATATGTGCTGTGTTGTTATATTTCAAAAGAAATCACTTTGGGAACATCCAGTATATTTTTAAATTTTATTTATTTATATGGAATTTATTGGGATGACATTGGTAAATAAAATTATATAGGTTTCAGTTATACAATTCTATAATACATCATCTATATATTGTTTCGTGGGACCTGTTGGCACAGTCTCCTTGATCACCTAAACTTGGTGCTCCAAGAATGTCCCTTGTGTGAGTTATGTGGGTCCACCTATTGTAATTGAGGCTTGATTGCTATTGACTCATTCATGCATGGAGTCGACCCTCAGGCTGGCTGACTGGGTCAGTCCCTACCATGGTATGCAAGCTGCTGTGCAGGTGCTGACACATAAAGTGAAATTCTCCTCAGCAGGGTCTGGTGCCTGCCAAGATCTCCCTTTGGATATGCTTCTTGTGAAGCTAATTGGATCCCACTATTGTGTTGTCTGAGGCTGGCCACTGGGTGTGGGGCGGGCTTTTGTGAGTAGAGAATATGGGCTAGTGGATCTCCCATGAAGGAGAAATGCTGGTCAGGCTTGGGAGAAGGTAGGGGAGTGGCCCCAATCCCAGAGCCAACCAACTCAGTCACTTAGTCTGCCCAGACCTCTACACCCCAGCCCAGGCAGATGACTCCTAAGCAAAGCATAAGCTCCACAGGCGGTTCAACAGGGAGTCCAGAGGGTGGGGCTATTGCATTGCCCCAGGCTAATATGTATGGAGGGGAATGCTCTACCCAAGTAGGAAGGCATCTGGGGTGTCAGAGAGGGACTCAGCACAGGGATCCTGGCAGCTGTCCCTTCAGCTCTCTCCCCAGAGCCACAAACCCATCTCTCTTTATGAAACTCTAGTCCAATCTGTCCTCCCTCTGCCAGAGCCCAGGGTCAGTGGCTGGGAACGAGATTTTGTGCATTGGCCCTTTAAGAGGCCACCTGTGTCTCTAGCAGACTCTCATGTCTCCCTGGTGGACAGAATCCCCACTGATTTTCATAGCCAGATGTTATGTTGGCACCTCTTCCTGGGTCTGTGCTCTGGTCTGGGGAGCCCAGCTTGGGGCTGAAACCCCCATGGTCCTCAGGGGAACCTTTGCAGCTGAGATATACCTCTGAAATCTCAGCTGCTGCCCCTTAGAGCAAGGCCAACCCTTTTCACATCTCTGCCCTTCCTACCAGTCTCAATGTGGCTTCTTCTGTAAAATCCTTGGTTGTAACACTTCTCTTAAGCTAGCCTTCAGTTGGTTATTCAGGTTAATTGTTATATATTTTAGTAATTCCAATTTGGTCCTAGGAGGAGTTGAATGTAACATCTACCTACTTTGCCACCACCTTGGATCCCAGTATTTCTTATTTTCCACAACTTTCCCCACCTCCATCATCACAATTGTTTCTAATTGCTCTCATGGTTGTTTTCTCATTTCATAAAGATTTTATCAAGACCACTATGATGACAAATGGAAAATATTCTGGTTCTCAGTCATGTGTGTTAATGAAGGAACAGGCTGATTATGAATAATTTACTAAACTAGACACTAAAAATTACTTCTATTTATTTTTAAATGTTTACATTACATTGGATTATAGACATGTAATGTTCTGGGAACTTATGGCACAGTATAAACTGAAGCTGGTCTGTGAATATATTCATACAAGAACATGTTGACCACATTTAACCACCTTCTACCTCCAATCCTGCCTAAGACATCTGGTTTTCTTATTCCCTTAAGAGATAATGTATTTTACTTGAATCACCTTTCCTGATAACTGGTCTGAGAGGAAGGGAGAAGAAATAGATATAACTCATTGACAGCCTCAGGATATAGACATTCAGTCTCCATTCCTTTTAGCTTTTACTGAACATCAGGCTACCAGTCTAACAAGGCAACAAAGAAAAGTAAACAGAAACGGGAAGCAAAATAAATAGCAGCCTTTATCCCACTGGAAATAACCGTAAGTTTAAAAATGCAATCTTGGCCATATCGTAAAAGGATTTTCTTGGTCTGTTTGCATAGCCGTATTTTATTCCATTCCGAACTAATCTGGATTTTTTAGAAATTGTACTGTACACCAATCTTATTTACCCAAAAAATCTTTTGCGAAACATTTCTCCAGAAAATTGTGCTGTATATATGTCATGTGGCATCCTGGTGCATACCAAAACTATAGGTTCTAATCTACAGTGAAAGACAAGACAGCATCATTCCTAGAAACTGCGTTTTCACAGGTATACCTTGAAAATGTACTGAGACAGAACACTGAATATAAATGATGGGACTCATCTCGGTGGATATGGGTAGTTTGTAGGTTGCCTTGGCCTTACTGACTGATCTTCCACATTAAGTTGAATGTCCTGCGAACCCATGTGTACCTGTCTCCAATGCTTTGATGTGTTTTACAGCCTTCTTCTGGCACTATCTAATGAAGCTATAAAAGGAGAATGTTTCCTTTCCATTACAACAGCAACAAAAATTTCAAGAATGAAGCCACAAAAATACCATACTACCTCACAGGTCCCTTCTTAATACTAAGTCTAAAAGTAGTTAGCACCAGACCATCACATCAGATCAAAGACCGTAGAGTTTCTGAAACCAAACTTTCTTTAGACTTAACATTTAAATGTAATGATTATCACAAAAATACTAAAGTAAAAAAAGATAAACACAATTTCTTGGTGCCGATTTGTTTTTCAATTGACATAAATGTTCAGTTACATTTATATTCTATACTTCTGTAAGAATCATTCTTTTCCATTAGACTGTAAATCTTACGGATTAGAAATCAAGGTATCTTTAAGTCATCTTTACATACTCTAGCTCAGGATCATAATGGGAGTGATATAGTCATTCTTTGATATTTACCAGAAATACTTTTTACTAAAACTGCCACCTGGTACAAGCCCACTGTGACCATATTTTGAGAGTAAAAGAAGAGAGAAAATGATGGACAATTTATGGTCACTATTCAGTTAAGGAAATCTAGCTCCACTTCATAAATAAGATTTCAAGTTGTTTTGGGTTTCTTTTTGTAATATATAAAGAGGAGTAAGATATTACCATAACAAGTAACCAGCACTTTTCACAACCTCTTCCATCTTCCAATTTTCCCCCAGCTTAAAAAACATAGACACACTGCCCTGGCCAGTGTGGCTCACTTGGTTGGAGCATCATTCCACACACCAAAAGTCACAGGTTTGATTCCCAGTCAGGGCACATACCCAGATTATGGTTCAATCCCTGGTCAGGGTATGTAAGGGAGGTAACTGATCTCTCTCTTTCTCTCTTTCCCTCACCCTTCCTCTCTCTCTAAAGTCAATAAAAACATATCCTCAGGTGAGGATTAAAAAAAAAAATAGACACACCTATCTGATGCTGCCACATTCCACACTCTCACAAGGCTTTGCTAGATGCCAAAGAGCTCAGACTCAGACCTGCCAGGCAATTGATTTCCAAATGGGTGGAACTTTTAATGGCCTCACTTGTTTTTTACACGACTCACAGAAGGTTCCTAAAAGGCCAATGGTTGTTCACTGGCCAGGGAAGGAGCCTTCCAGCATTTATAATTTTTTTTAATTGAAATAATTTAAATTCCTAACAACTTGGTTCCATTGCCCCGTTTTTTTCAGGTACAGAGCTGTTGCTTCCTGGAGTCGTGTTCAGGGAATTGGGATTCCCTTGATCACCGCCATTGAGATTGTCTCCATCTGGGTCCTTTCTTTTATCCTGGCCATCCCTGAAGCAATTGGCTTCGTCATGGTGCCCTTTGAGTACAAGGGTGAACAGCACAAAACCTGTATGCTCAATGCCACATCAGAGTTCATGGAGGTACAAATTGTTTAAAGGGAATTCGCTGGGGGGGGGGGGGTCTTCATTTTTACTTTACCATCACCAAGACTTGATATCTTTGCAGTGCCCAGTGTGGTTTACTCTTAGTTCAGTCAAATATTCTTCAGTTGCATTAGAAATAGATGTTAAACCAGGGCTTAGCTTCTTGAATAGAACAACTATTTTGTTTTTACTCTTGTAGCACAACTGTAGACACAACTTTTGTTCAAACAACTCAGAATTCTGAAATACGTTTGCTAGGAAAGAGAGATTATATGTAAAAAGTGCTATTTGTTTTTATAATAAGGCATACAGTGCAACTTCCATCTGACAGACATGCTGACGCTTATTTTATGTTACTTGGGGAAATATATGTTACTCACATTTTTTTAAAGATAGATTTACTAGCTCAAAGTAGGAAGTCATACTTACATGTACAGATAATAAAATTTGAAGAACTCTTTAAAAAGTGTCCAGTTTAATAAATTCAGTTGTTGTTGCTTAGTACACCTGGTCACATTAATGTTTCTCTGAAAAGCTTAATCACATGAGTGTTTTGGGAAACATACTTAAAATGCATATTACCTTTGCAAAACTAGTCAAAGGTGGATTCAGGAGGAAAACCAAAAGGATACTATTTCTCTTAAATCTCAAATCAGCGTAATTTAATGCTTTGATGTAAGTTTCATGCAGCTCAGATTCCACATTTAATCACTTACAGATATCTCAAAGTACGTTTTCCTTACTTGGAAAATTCACAAAATTTGTGGTTTTACAGCTGCCCAGTTATCCTGCCTGGACATTCTGATTTTAAAATTAAAGGTACTCATGAAAGCTGCCAAACTGGCAACCTTAAAATTAAGGTCTGTATAGCTACTGACTTTTTTATTAAGTCCAATCTCCACAGTGAAAAACAAAGTAGTGAGTAGGAGGTTATCAGAAATTGGGCAGTGTAAATAAGCAATCTAAATATTTCTGAATAAAATGTCAGAGAGAAGAGGCTCAGAATTAAGAAGGAGTTTACTAATCACTAGAACTAGACAAAATGAAATGGGATAGTTTGTAATGACTGAATCTCCTTATAGAATAGTCAAGCAAGGGTAGCTACCCTTCAGGTGGGAAAACCTAGCGGGTTGCAGTAAAGGGTATGAGTTTGAACTGATCATTTTTTGTAATTTGGGATTCTCTTTCTCCTCCCTTTTTGTTGTTGTTTTTCCTAATTTTATTCCTGCTCTTTGTTCCACACTTTCCTCCTCAACTTTGCTCTAACAGACTGGAGGGAGGCCCCTCTATACCCTTGCTGATGACATCAGTTCAAAAGGAATTTGTGACCCCTTTCTCTACAGGCCTCTGCCATGGAGGGGTCAGGGGACTCCATCCAGTCCCCTCAGGGGTCAGCTTCCAAACCCTCTGCAGCTGCATTTGGGGCCTTCACACCAGCAGTGCACCTGGAGGAAGGGGGTACAAATTGAAGAGGGTACTTAAATGACTGTTTGTGTTGCACTTAAACAAAAAGAGAGTCCTTCTGAATTTTCTGGGGGGTTTTGGGTTTTTTTAAGTTCAGTACAGAAATCTTTCTAACAGTGTGATGTGGTTAGGGAAATATTTGTATACAGATCTGCATAAAATGGGAGTTTGTACTTAACCTGAGGATAAAATCCAGGGGTCTGTAAACTTGAATGGGAAAGAAATTATATGTTTATTTCCACTAATTTATAACTGAAATGTATCATTTCCTTCTAATATGAATATAGGCAACAAACTATAACAGTATTTAACAGTAACATATTTTTTTCACTAATAGAAATAACACATTTTCATATCATATAACATTGTATGTTACACTCATCATTGATTCAACATTCTGATAGTTATTAGAACCACCATCAGATTTGTCATTTAATTTGTTAATAACCACCTGTATTACTATATCAGAATTTTATTTTTATTGTTTTGATACTGTTTCTGTATAACTAGTTTCCAGTGTAATTGTACATATTTTATCTTATGCATGTAAAAATATTATTCTCAAAAAGGATTACAGTTTTCCTCGGACTTCCAAGGAGGTCTATGGCATAAAAATAGTTAGGAACCTCTGCCCAGAACCTTTTTCCTCAGGAACCATTTATAGATTACTTTAATAAACATGCTATAACTGTATCCCACTGTGCCTCTTTCTATATTCAGAAACTGTCTAGTTTTTCACAGAGCAACATGGCTAGTTTTTACTGTGGGAACCGAGGTATTACAGGAGGCTGCATTATCCATAGTAAATAAACAGTCTGAAGAAACAGAATATGGAAAAGAAAAACACTTCTTCCCAAGTTGATAATTAATTTAGTGGGAAAGAAGAATACAGATGTAATTTTCCAATTTCTACCTTTATAGGGTATTAAATTTTCTTCTTTAAAAAGACATGAAAGTGAATAGTCCTGGTATTTACAAATTCTGCCCACAGGGAGATAATGCTAAATATGCCGTCAGATAAGGTACTCTGTCTTGATAGTTTCCAGGTGGTAAGTATTAAAAAGAGCGAGAAGGGGAATGATTATTTATGGCTCAAACTGGCTGGCTACGAGGTCACATAGCAGGCATACCAGCCAAAGGGTTAACTCCCATAACCAGCACTACACAGATAAGCCATTCATAACCTTCCCTGTTTCCAAACAAGATATTCACATTAAGTACACTTCGACCATAATAGTCAAAAGTAAATCAGACACTAGCAAAATTTTGAGGCTCACTAATAAAGATAAATATATATTCTGTATGTCTCAGAATCATGTTTTGTGAGCTTCAGAAGGGGAATTCTTTTTATTGATTAGGGCTCTTCCACTGTATAATTAAAGCCAACTTCAGTTTATAAAAAGTATCTTTGTCAGGGTAATTTTTTTTTAAATGCAGTTTATTCATGTGCTACTTTATAAAGCCAGGATAATTTCTAGAGTTGCCATTTTAATTGTGTTTTGAGCACTATCCCCAAGCTCATTACCACACCAGAAGGATGAATATACAAACATATCTGCAAACACGAAGATTTTGATGAAGATTTTGAAGCTCCCAGAGGCACTGCCCAGTTAATTTATGTCACAAAGCCCCCTCCTTCCCTCTCCCTTTTCTTCATTTACAGTTCTACCAAAATGCAAAGGACTGGTGGCTGTTCGGCTTCTATTTCTGCATGCCCTTGGTGTGCACCGCAATCTTCTACACCCTCATGACTTGTGAGATGCTAAACAGAAGGAATGGCAGCTTGAGAATTGCCCTCAGTGAACATCTTAAACAGGTAAACATAATGAGATTATGAAATCTGGCCAAGACTATTTTGTCCTTGACAACAAAAGGCCTACGAATACTGTATATCACAGATTTAGCTTGTTTTCCTAAAAATAAAAAAAACTGTCTTGTTTGTCTGTATGTCTTATTTTCTTTATAGTATTAGGAATTTCCTTTGTGAAATAGGGAGTCTGCCTGGAGGCCGGGCCCAAATAGAGGAACTATTCATTGATTTTGTCAAGAGTATGTTTGTGTATCTAGTGAATTTGGATTAGAACTGTGCTGGGACAAAAAGGAGCATATAACTTTCTCCCCTAGCAGACTTTGCCGTCTTGTTGTGGAGATAAAATACAAACATGGGAACAACTAGAAAATAGAACCACAAGGTGTGGTAAAAGTAGTCTATGCTATAGAAAGCCAAGGAGGAAATGAGAGCAAGTTGTGGAGAGACTGTTCGTGGATGCGGGGATTGATTGTTCATGGAAACAAAATGGGTTTGATGGGAAAGGAGAGGACAGAGGGTGTCAGGTGGGACACAGGAGCCTAGTTCCAGCATGACGTGGCAGCCACCCATCTGGGGAGTGACAAAGGAGATGAGCCTCACTACAGCAACATGAACATCAAAGGTGACAGACGCTACAGAAAATGGGATTGGATGTATGAAAACAGGTCAAATTTTAGAGGGACCAAAGTTCTAGAATGAATTTGAATAGGTCAATAGAAGCTGCTGTTGGTCCTTCCAGGGCAACAAACAGAACAAAGAAAGCTGTGAGCTTTAGAGGGCAACACCTGGGTCCTATACTTGCTGGCTCTGTGACATTGGGAGATTTGCTTAATCTTTCTGAGCTTCTAGTTCCTCATAAAAATATATAATAATACATCAAGGGTTACCTAATGCATGTAAGGTGCCTAATTTTTGTTGCAGTCTTGATGTGGAAATAAAATATAAACATGGAGACAACTGGAAAATAGAATCGAACTCATAGTAAGTGCTCAGAAAATGTTCATAGATATTAAAGACTAAAACTAGGGCTGCATAAGTTTTAAGTCTCAACAGAGAAGGACACCTAACCACAGCAAAAGTTAATGTGTGTTGTTGACGGAGCCTATAAATCTGCACTATATAATTACACACAAGCAACATTCTTCAGCAGCAGCTCTTTTCAAATACTGTACAGATTTTTCTGAGCTTCAGCTCCTTATCTGTAAATTGGGCATAATAGCATATAAATCAATGGTATAGTGGGAATCAAAGGAATTAATGTGCACACACATACTTTGTAAAACTCTAACGTGCCATACCAATGGTAGCTATTATTTCTACTGAAATTTAACAGGAAAATTATATTGAGAAACTTTAGTATGACTTTGTTCAAGCATGAAAATTTCAAGTGCTCCAGATGTGAAACATGTTGATTTTTTTAATTTTTGTTTTAGTCGTCACTCAAGGACATTTTTTCCCCATAGCTTTTTCAGAGACAGTGGAAGGGGAGGAGAGAGAGAGAAACATCGATGTGAGAGAGACGCATCAAGTGGCTGCCTCCCACCCTCACCCCAACCAGGGCCCAAGCCTGCAACAGAGGCACGTGCCCTTGGCTGGGATCAAACCTGGGACCCTATGGTCCACAAGCCGACGCTCTAATCACTGAGCAAACCAGCTAGGGCTTAAATGTTGATTTTTGTATCACCATGATTGAGCCTGTTTAAGCTATAAGTGGTATCTGCTCTTAAAATAATTAAATAGGGATTGGGAGCAATAATAACATGATGCTGCTTCACATTTACATAGCATTTTTTAAGGTTTCGTAGAGCACTTCCAGGCCCTTTTCCTATTTGATTCCTCCAAGCATGCTGTGAGACAGGCAACGCAGGCATACAGGTGGTTAAGGGGCTGACTCCACCAAATGGAAATGAGAACCCAAGACGTGGTCCTCATGCAGTAGACACTCCCCTGTGTCACACTCAAGATCTAGCAGGTTCTAAGAGCAGAACAGCAAGCCTGGCTGTAAGGCCTTTGAGGGGGACTATGAGGGAGCTAGCTCAGTGAAAGGCCCTGCACCCTTTGACTCATAGCCTGCTGGGCTCTGTCTCACTTGTTTCATGGTTTCTCAAATTTCTCTTCATTATACTAACAACAACCTTATCAGTCAGGGATTGTGTTTGGGTTCTTGTAGCAGAAAACCCAAAATAACATTGAGTAGACCACGGAGGAGGTTATCTTTCTCCCACAGCAAAAAGCTCAGATGTCATTGGTTCTGTGGTGAAAGGACTCATAGGCAGGTGTCTGCTGTTTGCTGACCTTTCATTCAGTGTCATAAGACAGCAGCTCAGCTCCACCCTTATATCTGATTTCCAGGCAGAAAAGGGGAAGAACTTAGATCACTTGAGTGTGCCTGCACCAAAGGAGTATCCCCCACTTTTAAGCAGCTTTACACAAAACTCACATAACGTCTACTTAATCTGATCGGTAGAACTGTCAGGCAGCCATGCAGATGATTAGTGCTCCCACACTACTATAACAAAACCAGGAATCTGACTGATAGCAGAGAAAAGAGGAGGCTGGATATTGGGTAGGCAAACAGCAGACTGTCATGGCAGTGTATTAGTGTTACCTGTTAAAAGGACTATCCCCTTTGAGGATATGCTCAGAGGAAGTAACCTCTTCCCCAGTACCCTCCTTTTTTTTATTTTTCTGGACACACTGTCTATCTGTGTACACAAAATGACCCTTTAAAATGATCCCCTACTCCTGCAGATTGCAACCTTTATTTCTCTCAATCATTGCTCAGTTTATGCGTTCTCTGAAGCATATCCCAGCTAGCCCAATAGCTCCAAAAGATTCAAGAACCCCAGTTCTTTGAGTTCAAAGAGTAGCAATCTGTGATAACTGCCCCCAAACCTTTTTAAACAACTTTATTAATCATGTGGGTTTGTTGTAGGCTTTCTATACTTCATGCTATATGCTTTGGGTTGAACCAGCATTTCCCTTCCAAACCCTGTTTTCAATCAGTTTTATTTTGACATTAACTGATCCCAGTTACAGACAAGCTGCATTTTATGTTCCTAGTCAGGCTTCTAAATGCATGCACTATACTACTCAAGGACAACACACACAAAGGCCTGGATGCTGATAATTCTTAACCTATGTTTTTCTGATCCTGTGCAGGACTTGAAAGTATGTAAACCTTCAGCTGAAGTCAGTCCAGGGTCAGCATGTCCCAGGTTTTCTAATCATCATTGCTGATAATCCTTTACCCCCATCCCTGTTTGCAAACAATATAGCTTTGGGAAATACATCATTAATAAAAGAATTTTTTTTTTAAATATATTTTTATTGTTTTCAGAGAGAGGAAAGGAGAGGGAGAGAGAGAGATAGAGATATCAATGATGAGAGAACAATTGATCGGCTGCAGCCGGCAACCCAGGCATGTGCCCTGACCGGGAATCGAACCCCGATCGCCTGGATCCTAGGTTGATGCTCGAGCGCTGAGCCACGCCCGGCCAGGCAGAATTTTAAAAGCAAAAATATCCCAATGCTAGCTTTCTTCAAGATCAAGAAATGGAGAAAACATATTCCTGTTGCCTGTTTCTTTTCTATTTCCTATTCCTGTTTTGTTTTCCAAATGTGTTTGCAGATTTGTCCACTCTTTATCACGTGGGTGCAGTCACCTTGACTGTCACGTTATCACTGATTCTAGTCAGTTACCTGTTATTGAGGCTTTTCAGCTAATGCTTTCCCCCATAGATTCGCCCCCCCCGTCCCCCCCACACACCTACCCAGACTCAGCCACAGTGTTGGCCCAACTCCAGCCAGTTCCCACCTCTCCCTGCCATAGGACCTCTGCACTGGTCCCACTAACCATCCTGAACCCACCATCCTTCCTGGCAGCTGCCCCAAAGAATCCTTAGCAAATCTTGATCATAAAGTTGGGCTCTGAATCTTAAAGAGGTAGAGGCACTGTGGGGCAGGCTGTTGTGGCTCCTCTGTGAGCTATTCTTTCCCTGCTCTCTACTGCTCCCTGGTTACATAGTTCTTTTATCTAGCAGAAAAACACTGAATTTACTGTACTTTTTTTCTCACTTTCCTTTAGCGTCGAGAGGTGGCGAAAACAGTGTTCTGCTTGGTTGTAATTTTTGCTCTTTGCTGGTTCCCTCTTCATTTAAGTCGTATTTTGAAGAAAACCGTGTATGACGAGACGGACAAGAACCGATGTGAATTACTTAGGTATGGCCCTAGGTACCCATTAGGAAATTGGAGTTTCTCTGATTTTCACATTTATGATACTTTTACAAAACTATCTAGTCTACATTCTCATTAGCCCTGAAAATTAAAACTGCAAAGTTGATTATTTTTTCTTTAGCTGACATAGCCCATAACTGATCCCAAAATTTGTGCAAGCCATGTCTGTAATCTTGCGTCTCCCCTCCTGAGGCTGTGAATAATAGTCTGAGCTAACCAAGTGGCAGGTAAATGTTCTGCAGAACTGAAACTGCCATTTAAACAAGGACTTTAAAAAAATTCTGACTGCTACCTGTGAGAAATGACTTCTGGGCAAGAAAAATGCTTATTCTAAGGATAAATCCTAGTTTGCAGTTTTGAAAACATTATGTTCTAATTATTCTACTCTATTTTCTTTTGCTCTAGTTTCTTGCTGCTCATGGATTACATCGGTATTAACTTGGCAACTATGAATTCGTGTATAAACCCAATAGCTCTCTATTTTGTGAGCAAGAAATTTAAAAATTGTTTTCAGGTAAGATGGTTTTGCAAGTATTTTTTAAGAACAACCAAATAACTATATTAAGTAGCCATTAACATGGCTAATTCCAGTTATAAATACTACTTTCATCAGCTATCCTTTTCAGTAAAGAAATGAAAATCACATTCTGTTAACCAGAAAGATGGTGAGCTTCGGGCCACATAGAATACATCAAACCTATTCCTTCCCTATGTTGTTTTAGACTTTAACAGTCTCAACGAAACATAAGCTCTATTATTAAGAAAGCTCTTGCTAAGTGCTACTTAGTAGCATATTTAATAACAGCCTCTTGAAGGAAAGGAAATGCTTATTACTTTGGGAATCTGAGCTCAGGTAGCTGCATTTGAAATCAGTTTCCTTCTGTTCCTTAAACCTCCTTGTAGCTTAGCCAACCCATGTCCTCCAGAAGCTCCATGCACTCATACAGATGTGTCATTTTTCCAGTTCCTGGAATGATTTTAGCATAGAGTTAATCCAACCTGGATTCTCTTATCTCTAGCCAGGATGTTAGTTCATGGTACATATTAGGAAGAGTAGCATAGAGGTCAAGGGTGCAGGCTCTGGAATCAAACACTCTTGATTTACATCACTGCTCTGCACTTACTGGCAAACCCAGGCCTGGGTGGTGCCCCTCCTGCTGCTTTTGTTAGCTGGTCTGTAAAATCAGATAATCACGGTATCTATCTCATAAGTAGGATTCAATGGGTTAATATATGCTAAGTGCTTTAAATAATAATAAGTGCTCAGGATGAGTTTATTATTATTTAGGGTAGAGTGGACAAGAAAGACACAGTGACTGCCTTCGTGGAACTTACAATCTAAAAGCAGAATCACACAAATAGATGAAACTTGGTAGTTTCATCAACTTGGTAGGAAAATAGCATCTACCACCTAGGACTGTGAGCACCAGATGAGGTGCACAACGCAGACAGCCACACCAGGGGTGCTCACTGAAGAAATGCCAGGCCCCTCCTAGCCGTTCCCCTCACACCCACCACCCTAAGTCATAGAGAACTCGCTTTCTGACCAAAACTGCTTCCCTTCCTCTTTCACTTGGTGAAAAGTATTTAAACAAGAAACAAGGGATCTATTTCTCTGCACTAGAATGGACAGTTCAGCTTTTACCTAGAGGTTACAGACTCCATACCCTAGATTACTGTTAAGGCTCGCATTCTGTCCTCAAATGCATGTGGACACTTACCCCTTGTTGGTGGGGGCCCAAGGCTTCTGCGCTGTGCTGGGAACAAGCTGGTAGGCTCATGTCATTTAGCATCTGTTCCTTCTCCCAGTCTTGCCTCTGCTGCTGCTGTTACCAGTCTAAAAGTCTGATGACCTCGGTCCCCATGAATGGAACTAGCATCCAGTGGAAAAACCACGAGCAGAACAACCACAACACAGAGAGGAGCAGCCACAAGGACAGTATAAACTAAACATCTTAAGAAACATTCATCAATATTCCTTCAGATCTCATTGGGGAGAAAAAATCATACAGCAACTATGTCTCCAGAAGTCTCTTCTCCCATGACTCAGACTCACCTGCAGAAAATGCTTTACAAAACATCAGAGAGTGGACTGGTTTATACCTGCAAATTCAATGAATCTTACTTCTTTAATTTATCTAATTTACATATGCTGTGTGTTATATTCAACACTAAAAAGTGGTGAGAGTTGGCAGGGGAAAGGGAGACTGTTAAATGAAACCAGAAGGATATTTACTACTTTTGCACGAAAACTGTTTTCAAGTGCATGACTAGCTTTCACGGCCATTCTGTCAAATGTTCAGTGAGAACTGGTCACCATGCAAGTTTGGAGATTATAAAATAGAGATTTTTTTTAAGTTGTTTTTTTCTTTTTTTTGGCCTAACACAGTATGGATTTACATCCCCTTTATTTGAACTGTCATTTAGTGTCAGTACTTTTTAACTGCACAGTAGCCTAAAGATAATTATTTGAGTTTATTTTGTAAAAAAAAAAGTAAAACAGAATTTAGGTGAACAATTAGGTTAATGTTTCTCATGTCACTGTGGGTTTTTTTAAATATAAATTCTCAAGCTGCAACAAATACAGGACTAAAGCACAAACTGACGATCACACATAGCAGTTTAATAGCTACTATTCAAAGGATTTTTAAGAACCTATTCTTTTAATGATGTTTCATTACAGGAGATCCTGAACACATTTTTATGTTAAATTTAAAAATAATGCTTGAATCAAATAGTTCTATTTTTCATAAGTCCAATCTCTTTTTAATGTTTTTTATGTAAAATCAATATCATATACCAAATGTTAAAGGTACGTGTCATTTAACTATACCCAAGACTTTCAGTTCAGTGCATAGAAGCCTAAAGCACTGACTTTAGACCTAGGAGAATAAGACTGAATATTTTTAGAAGATTTGGAAATTTCATTGAGGTTTTTTTAGTAATAGTAACATGTATATGTATGTATGTGCATATATAGGTACGTGTGTGTGTGTGTGTATAGTATACATATCACCTCATATTCCCTTGATTTGTCTTAAATGTTAACTGGCAGAAAGGCTTTTTTTGGTCATTCCCTTTTCCATACAGGAAACACAATTTCAAAGTGGCTGGCTGACTTTATTATGTCAGTGAAATATAATTACCCCCAACAACCATCATGAACTACGTTTCTTCACATCTCCTGGTTTCCATTGTGGACTTAAACACCTTCCCCACCCCCACTACTCACATGGTCACCATTTCAAAGGGCCCACAGTGACTTTTGATGGGCATTTTCCAAGTGTTTACAGACTGTGAGTACAGCAGCAAATCTTTTGCCATATGTATATAGACAAATATATATATATATACAACTGTACATATCTTTTAGCCAATTTTTCTGTTATTATCTCTATGGTGTGTATTTGTATGTGTGATAAATGCATGTGTGTGATGATATGTATGGACTTATGTAACCTAATGATGCCCTGTAGTTGTGCCAAAGCACACACTCTGACTGGAATCTAGGTGGCTGTTCATTGCAACAGTAGGCCTCAGTCAGTTTTAATCTATGCATTCATAAAGCTTGTGACTGTCACCATTACAAGTGGAACATGGGAGAGAGCATGAAAGGGGACAAGTGATGGGTTAACAAAGGGCTTTTGTTTGGTTGGTTGCTTGCTTGCTTGGTTGGATAGAACAGTATTTGGGGTTGTATATTTTCCTGTACTACAGCAAAAGTCTTTAAACTTTGAAGTATTATATTGTCCTAATCCTCAACTCAACTTGGTGATAAGGTTGACAAGTGGTCTAATGTTGATATCAGACTTCACCAAACATATTCCTGATGATAAGTCAGCTAGTATTTGCTGGGCTACATTTTAGCACAGTCACACATAAAATGATATCGGGTTCCAGCTGACCCCAGAGCAGGGCTCCTTTATGTGTTAGCTGTCAAATTCCATTACTCTGCTGGTGCGTCCCATGCACTGATATATACCCGTAATGTAAGCCATAAGCTCACACCATTGTGTTTAGACAGCTGTCTTTTTGTTTAAGATGCTTTGTCTCTTGCATATGAAGATTGCATTTTATAAGTTCAGAAAGTCATAGCTTTCCAAATAACCACACAGGCTTCAATGGACATTTTGTTTATGGACTGGTAAGTAACCGTGGTTTGCTAGTAGAAATATTTCCAGTTTCTACTTTGGCCACATCTTTCCAAGTAAAGCTGTAGAAATGAGCCAAAAGCCAAGGCCCTGCATTGGCAGTGGCCTATAAGTATAAAATAAAGTTTACAGAAGCCTTGCAAGTGTCTCTTCATTTTTACATAGTTCTTCAGAGAAATGTTTGTTACACAGTCCCTATTGTAAACCTCTCCCTAGTAACAGCCAGTCAAGCAGTTTCACTTTCAAACAGATGCTTCCTAACTGTGCTGCACTCTCAACCTACATTGTTGTGCTGAACACGTAACTCCCTCATTCACTTCTTCAGTCACCTTTCCAGTAAGTTTGACTGAGCATCTACTGCTATGCCCCAGGAATTCTTCTAGGTACTGGAGATATAGCAGTGAACAAAGCAGGTAAAGTTCCTTTTCTAATGGAGCTTGAATTCTAGAGGAAAGAGCTGGACAATAAACAATTACAGTCCATAAACAGTATGTCAGGTGGATACTTGGAGGAACAGACTCATATGTATCCAACTGCTTATTTAACATCTCTAATTGGATGACTAACAGACCTACTATATCTAAAACTAAGCTCCTGCCCTAACCGGTTTGCTCAGTGGTTAGAGCATCAGCCTGCAGACTGAAGGGTCCCGGGTTCGATTCCAGCCAGGGGCACATATCTCAGTTGCAGGCTCAACCCCAGTCCTAGTCAGGGTACATGTGGGAGGCAACCAATCGATGTGTCTCTCTCACATCAATGTTTCTCTCTCCCTTCCATCCTCTCTCTGAAAAGGAATGGAAAAAATATATATCCTCAGGTGAGGATAAAAAAACAATAAAACTAAGATCCTGATATCCCTCCAACCTGTGCCACCATAACATCCCTCTGCTCATGTGTGAGTCAGGGTTCAACAGAGAAACAGAGCCAACATGTTTAAGAGAAGATTTATTATGGGAATTGGCTCATGTGATTTTGGAGGTTGAAATATGCTATCATCTGTCTGCAAGCTTGAGAACAAGGAAAGCCAGTGATGTAATTCAGTCCAAGTCCAGAGGCCTGAAAACTAGGGAAGCCAATGGTGTAACTCCCAGTATGAGGCCAAAAGCCTGAGAAAAGTGGAGCAGCCCGCTGTTGTTAAGTCCCAGAGCCCAAACGCTGGAGAACCAGGAGCGCTGATATCCAAGGACAGGAGAAAATGATGTCCCAGCTCAAGAGAAGAGAGAGAGAGATTTCATCTTTCCTCTACCTTTTTTCTTTCCTCGCCCTCCACAGGTGGATAAATGTCAGCACATATTGATGAGAGCTGATCTGCTTTCCCGTCTTCTGATTCAAATGCTAATCTCTTCAGGAAACACCCTCACAGACTAATGTCTTACCCGCTCATTGGGCACCCCTTAGCCCAGTCAAGTAGACGTATAAAATTAACCATCACAGCTCAGTTAAAGACAGCTCCAAACTTTGAGTCGTCAGGATAAAAATGTTGAAGCCATTCCCATTCCCTTCTCTCACACCTTGTACCCAGTGCCTCAATAAATCCTGCCAGCCTATCTGCAGAATAGATCCCGAACCTAACCACTTCTGTCTGCCTCCATCACCCTTTTCTGAGCCACCAACATCTCTGGTCCAGAGAACTGACACAGGCTCCTATCATGCCTTCTTGTTTCCAGCCTTGTAAACATCATGCTTAACTGGGGCCTCTCTCTCAAACACCATAAATGGTCTGAAGGTGTTCACATTTCCCCGGCAGGCTGACCAACATCCCTTGGGGATTTTTTTAAAAAGAGGTAAAGTAAGAAAGCGCCCCTTCCCACTGTGGCAAGCCTGGGAGGTTGTGAGCTTGAGAGCTGCAGGCCACCATGGTTTGGGCATTATGAAGAAAGTTATAAAAATGAAAAAGAGCATTTAAGTCCCTCGTTCCAGCTCCCCCTGATGCTTTCCCATGGCTTGGGCAAGCAAACCAACACATTTACCTTTGTGCCTATGCTAGTTAAATTTGGTTTTCTGTTTTCCTACAATACACACCATGCTAAGATCATCTCACCTAAGTTATTTATCCTTTCTTATGGTTGCTGTTTAGATTAATAGGCTTTACGTTCTTAGTTTCAGATTTACAGAAAAACTGATTGGAAAGTACAGTTCCCACATATTCTTTTTCCTCCTTCCCTGTGCTGTCCTCCCTGTTACTTACCTCCTGTGTTAGTGTAGTAAATAACTACAAAATATGATGCACCAATATGGATACACTATTATTAACTAAAACCTATCAACCTATCATTTACATTAGGATCCACTCTTTGTGTTGTCCATTCTGCAGGTTCTGCCAAAGACGTAGTGACAGTTATCCACCATTATGTATCATTCAGAATAGTTTCACTGCCTTAAAAATCCTGAGCTCCACGTTTTCTTCCCTCCCTTCCTCTCCCTCTTGATTTACCTTTTCACTCAACACAGATCTAAGGAGCACCCACCATATTAAACAGTTTTAGCTGCTGGGAACACAGCTGTAACCAAATAGATGTAGGAAGTGCTTAGTGGTGACTCAGTAGTCATCAGCTTTGGAGACAATAAAGGCAAGAGTAGTCAAAATTCTTTCAACTTCAGCTGGTGACCTCAGCGAACACGGTGTCAGGGCTCTTGCTTCTACAGTTCCTACTGTAGTGAGCACAGATGTGTCACTGCTAGGAGAATGGGACAGTAATAAGCAACATGGTATTGCCTCTACACTATGAGCTTTTTAAGTCAGTAAATATGTGTTATTCTCCATCCAAAAGTAAACCTATCCAGTAAATTTTAAATTAAGGGAATGAAACAAATTGAAGATTAAGTCCAGGAAATAGCTGAGACAAATGTGAATCTTTCACTAGCCTGTTACCTCTCCTGTTATTTTTAATAGCATTACTGCTAGTTCGCAGTAGTGTTCGCATTGAGTGGAGTGAAGAAAATGCACTGCCAGTCCTTCCAAGCCTCCCCAGGCCTGACATTCTGAATCTACAAATCCTTTACTTGTAACATAATCTAGTACAGCACTGTATGTATTGCCTTTTCTCCATACTTCAAGCAAGCAAGGTTAAATAAGAACACTAGTCCACCATATGCAGTTAATTACTTCTGAACTTCCAGTGGGGTCTTCCCATTTTATAACCCCAGAGGCTTTTAAATAATCCTACGTTTGGAGAAGCTTCTGTCACACTTGCCTCTAAGTA